AGAGGCTTTACTGCGTCGTTTGCGGTGGAAGGCGCATCGAGTTCGTCAACACGGTCTTGATAGGACGAGGATGGGATCAGATTTGAGGAAGCGGACGCATTGAGGCGGCCGTAGATCGGCATTGATACGCAGCGACGCGCGAGAACGCCGAGTGAAATAAATCTCTTACAGTGTGTGTCCTGGAACCGCCTCGCGGTTCTCCATTACCGGAGAGAATGGTCAACCATAAAGTGGTTTCGTTTCTTTTTCCCTTTTTTTCCTGTTTTTAAATAACGTTTTGCTCCTCGACCGACAACAAAGCAGAATGATGATGCTACCGGACGGAACTTTACTGCCCGTGAAGTCCCTGATTGATACATGCTGCGCGTACACAGCGCGTTCCTTGATGCAATCATATTCGCGTGCAGATGAATACACGGGAAGCAACAGTAGCGTACATGTCTGGAACAGCTGTGCGTTGGTGGTCCTCGGTTTCCGAATGATGCCTCCTCGATGTATTCAGCGACGGCTTTCAATTCGATTTTCCGGGTTGGAACGTTTGAAGTAAAGCGGAGCCTTGATTAACCGGGTTGCTCTTTTTCATGACTTCAATCGTATAGAGTCTCGTTTGCCCGTGAAATCAGTATCCTGGAATATGTAGATTTAAATCACAGACATTGTGATTTATAGGTACTGTATTCATTTATTAAAAGTTCGTGCGGTTTCTTTAATCGAAATTTAAACACAGAAAACGTTTTTGTCGAGTAATTTTATTATATTTCACTAATCTGACAACTATCAGTTGTTCAGTTAAATCGTATAATCAAGGTTCTACTGTGTGTTATGAAGTACATATATCGTTTGAAAGGTCTATTAAAGGTTTATCTGAAAGAGATGAAAATACGCAGTTCGAATAAGTAGGGATTTTCAAATAGTATTTTGGTTTTCACAAATATCCCTGTTACTTTTTATTTCAGATATATATTGAACTATTCTTTGAAAGTGGACGAATACACGATAGTGAAAAGTTATAAACGAATGGTAAAGTATGAAATATATTCTGATTAAATCATACGACGCGTGTCCCGTATTTGTTAATAAAATTATCATTCGCTTTCGTAGAGCGACGCGTACGCGATGGTATAATTACAGTGTACTTGACACGATATCACAGTGGGATGGCTGCGTGAGTAGCGGTTCGAGGAATGTCGTGCAAGCGGTTAGCTTTATACACTACCGCGCGAACAATTATTTTATATTCGCAGCTAATAACATTAATTCATTTCGTCGTTCCTTTCTCCTTGAATATTATTCAATTCAACAACCAGAATTTCATAATAATTCATATTAAACATGTTTTTGTATCAAGTTACTTTTAAATATTTACATTTACATTCACAGCTCCAAAAGCACATCTTTTCTTCCACACTTTCAGCTTATTTCCTCGGGTAGAATCATATTCCACTGGTATCATCAGTTCTAAAACACCCTATACACCGCGAATGCATGTACAAGTTGAAAGAGAAATCGCTGGTGCAACCTCGGAATTGTTAGTTCCTTACAAAGTCTCCACAATACAGCACCGTTACAAAATGTAGACTCACGAGCGCGGTTTCCTCTGGAATCGCTTGTAACTTCGCTAAAATAATACATCCCGCGGGAGGTAGACGCGCGTAACGTCCGTACAGGCGACACTCGGTGGCACCGTGGTGTATTCGTTACGTCCCTGCGGTGCTTAGAAAGGAATATTCACAGATAGGAGTCAATAAATCCAGCCGATGGTGCTCAACGCGCTCTCGAGCTCCGGACTGGTAGCCCAGAAGAAACTCGCTGCCGGCAAATAATGGCCGTGGAATCGTCGCTTCCGTTTATAGAGATACCGGCTGCGGCTTTCTAAGCGCTCGCATACTCGATATCCACGCCAGAAACCAGCCGAGAGAGAGAAGCTGCGTGAACCGACTTGGATGGAACCAGCTGTGTTCCTCGACAATGGTCCGCAGCCACTCTTTCACCCTAGCTGCTCTGCGGTCATCGTTGTTCCGATCTTTATTCATGTATACAATTTACTGTATGCATGCGATTGATGAAACGCGTTTTATTGGAAATGTAAAGCTGTCATTTTGGCATTTTAATTGTGGCGTGTAGAGCTTAAGGTGAATTTATTTTGTGGAAATATAGGTTTGTGGGATCAGCAGTTCGAAGTGAACTTGGTTTACAATTTTGTGGATGTGGAAATTGAAATGTTTGCAAAATTGAGAATAAAGCTATTTCATGAAAATTCAATTTGGAGAAATTAACAATTTTAAAGGCTATCTAATTGAGAATTTTATTTCTCTAAAATAAAGTTTTAAAATTACTAGTTCTCAGAATTGATAAATTAGAAGTAAACTTATTTTATGAGATGTACGTTTTGAAAAATTTATAGTGTTAAAACTATTAAATTGAAAGTAAAGTTATTTCATGAGAATTCAGTTTTGTAAAACTTACAACTATAAAAATTGCTGACTTGAAACTTCTCTATTTATCGATTTGCACTCAATTCCGGTATCTAAATTCGTTAAATAAAATGAATAAATAACAAGTATATGCAGAAGAATATTAAAAATCAGGTTTTCAAACCGAGGTTATTTGAAATTCATGAAAGTAGTCAGTATTCATGAAGCGTTATAGGAGACCTACTATAAAGAAACTTGGAATCAAGATCGGTCTTCAGACGCAAATTACTGTGACTCATTGCCGCGCGGACACATTGTATCTAGATTGAACAATTTACGACTCGCTTGACCATGCGCACATGAATTCCATGTCGCACACAAGACACTGTAATTCCGTCCCATTCGAAAGCCGAGGTGAACGAGTCGTTCCAGTTCGTCGATTGTCGTTTAGAAATTATCGAGGGAGTATTCGATGCGGGATATCTATTAAAATAGGCGTAGCGTTCGCTCACCGGGGAAGAAGGAGTTCTTCTAGTCACGCAATCGTAGGAAGCTGCCCTTATACAGGCTCGTTTCTTTCGTTTCGAGTATCGACCGCTTCCCGGGAAAGAGAGGGTAATCGATCAGGGAACTACAATGCGAGTCCACGAACGGAGGATCATTAGGGCCCATTAGAAAGTAGCTTTTCTTTATAAAGGCCCGGTAGGGCGCCTGGCGTTACCTTTCGGGCGGACGGCGCAGTCATTGACCCCCTAGAAATCTTTCTAAGCGTCTTATTAAGGTCCAGAGAGCGGTATTTCGTGGGCGGAATTAAAAACATCTCGTGTCTATTTTATTCTTTACGAACACGTAGTTTTTGTGATAAAATGTGATTTGGCTGTGGTAATCTGATTTCAAAAGGAACATTTTACTGTGGTTACGAATGAAATTTTATGGTTAGAATAAAAAATGTTTGTGTATGTATTATTTTGGACGAATGTTTATGTTTCTGTATTAAAACTAGATTGTGTGCGATAAATTATTTCAATACGATATTTTTATTATGTATGGAGGAGGGAAATGAAGTGTTAGATGTCCTACACTTGTGAAAGAGAAAGTATTTAAAAGCCTTGTCCTTGTAGGCATGTACTGGAAAGAAGATTTACAAAACTACAAGCTTTTATTCTTTTGTACTAATGATATATCTTTTTCCATATTCGATGTTACATACACTTTTTTAAATAGTTATAATAAAGTTTATTTCAGATTTAAATATATAACTGAGCAATAAGTCGTTTATTATCACTGAAGTTTTAATTTTTGCTTAGTCATCAAACAGTTTCAAACAGTCTCAAACCAATCGTTCGTCAAACTAATTTATAAAATGGTTGACCACCAAATCAATCCTTCGTCAACCAATCTTCCAAAATCACTCGTTCTTAGCAACCTCCCGTTTGACAATCTTTTGCAAACGAAACACTTGTTCCAAACAATTACACTCAATTCGTTCGCAAACATTCACCTAACTACAAACGTAAGTGTCAACCACATAAAATCACTTGTTCTACAATACAGAATAAATTACTTAACATTAATTTAACAAAAAATCTCGGACATCGAACTCGATAATCCTTGCTAGAATATATTTAACCATGTTGCGGTTTCTTTTAAATTGCTCCGAAACTTCTTCAGATTTTCACAGAACACTTAACGTGGACACTTTTGCGCTCGCGGGCGGAAATGAACGATTAGGTGAAATAATAAAGAAGAAGTTTAATTAGAGACTTGGGAGAGAGAGAGGCCCGAGCCTTGTAATTGGAGAGGGTGGGTCGTTTCTTTGAATTGACTGCTTCGATCGTTTAGCAACGCGCCGAAATAAGGTCTGGGAGAGAATTTCTCGTAACCCCGCGAGACCAGTACAACGCGAATTTTAGATATACACTCTCGATGGGTATAATGATACGTGTTGCCGAGCTAGCCACAAAGGATCGCGTCTTCCGCTTTCTGAACCTTTCGTGGAAGCCTTGACCGCAGCGCGATTCACCGTTCCATTTCGCGAGAAGGCATTAGAGGCATGTCTTCGAGACCGCCTAAATGGAACGGAACGACTTAGACTTTGCAAGACACTTGCCAGTGATTCACGATATAAGAATGAATGATGGAAATATTTCCTACATGTGTTAAATTTATTTTCTTCATTTTCTTCTTTTATATAAAGGTTTATACAGTACGTGCAGAAATAGTAAACAAGTTCATTGCAAGATGGAAAGAAGTTGTCGAAGAAAATGAATAATGTATTATTTAATGAACTTTAACAGTAATTCAATAAAGAATTTGTCTGTAAATAAATAGTGGCATAGAATATGCCTAGAACTTTTCTCTTCTATAATAGATTATTAACCCTTGAGTAGAAATTACGTTATTTTACAAATGTGCTATATTACAATCAAAACAATTTTCTTATTTTCATAAGTACATTTGATTGAACTTGTAGTACTACAATTTCCTTTACAATAACTGTATCTATGAAATTGTAACAACACTAAGTATCATGAGTCGAAATAAATGGTAAGGCAAAGGGTTAACATTCGAATCTTTTTGTTTCAGTTGTACATCGAAATATGTGGGGGAGTACTGTCAACACCTGAACCCTTGCCACACGGGGCCACGTTGTCAAAACGGGGGCTCGTGCAGGGTGAAAGAGAGCACCGGGGGCGGCACCCCCTCTTTCACCTGTTCCTGCCCGGTCGGGTTCACGGCGAGTCTGTGCGAAATACCGATGGAAAATGCGTGTGACTCGTCGCCTTGTCTCAACGGTGCCACATGCATCTTGAAATCACTGCACGAATACGTCTGCACCTGCGCCACTGGATACACAGGTAAGACTGTTAACATCTCCGCTCTTTTTTATGTCTCTTTTGCCGACGTGTCAACGGTAGAGGTGAAAACACTTTTAAGACGCGATATAAAAATTCTTGGGAACTGGAATGAAAGTGTTCACGCGTATACCTGTTCCACAATGAAGTGATCGGAATTACGCGAAGTAATAAATTGGTGAAGTTATTTTTGTAAAACAGACTCGTTTGTATAATTAAGCGATTTCTGCTTGCCGCAACCAGCACCTGTCTTTGCGTAACTTTATAATCCGATAATTCCGGCATAACGAATGTGCTGTAAAACATGAGTTTCTGTTCGCGTTCGATTCCTGCAAATGTAAAAGCATTTATACAAATCTACAGCTGCCCAGTGATGTAATGGTGCAACATTGGTTTTATTAGTAATATTTCTAATTTATTTTTGTTCAAATCAGATTCTTAAGTAAGTTTTCTTATTTTAAAGTTTGTGGAAGGTATTTAAAAAAATATTTAACTTTTATAATATAACTAGAAGAAGGTTCAAGTTGTAAATATTGAAATGTAGCCATAATTTTATAATATTTACTTTAAATGCACATGACTCTTATTTAAAGTAATTTACATATAACTTCAGTTTCGTAGTAAAGTAGAACAGGAAATTGCTCGAATGCTAATTATCATAATAGTTCGAAAAATATAAAACAAACGAGATCTGATATATAGATACTAAATACGACACGGCGGAACGGTTGTCAATCATCCCAACGACGTATCAATTCACATGGGTCGAGTGGCAAGGTTACGCGATTGGTGGATTGATAAGACCTGATTGTCCTGGTGTTCTCATTGTTACGCTCATTAATAAGATATGATCCCGTGAATGGAGAATAAAGCGCGAGATTTAATCCGAAGGATTCATAACGCTCGCATGGTGACGCATTGTGTAGAGACTGTTGAAACTAAAGCTAAATGCGTAAATAGTGGCGATTGACGGAGACGTTGGTTATAAATTGATCAATTAGGAAAATAGTCACGATACACATATTTAAAATAAACACGATATATCTTTGAACTGATAGAATGTTCAGAAAATAAGTATATCTGATATAAAATAAAAGATTAAAATACATAATATGTATTTTTATATCTTTTTACATGATGTTCTGTTTTTAAAATTTTTGTAGAAAACTCACTGAACGTATAAGTATACCTGAGTATCATGTCTGCCTGCTACTGTCCATTTCCACTGGTATTATTGTTTTCGACTATTGACAATAGAATGTTATCGTTTGTTTCGCACAATGATATCGCTGTTTTATAATCAACTCATTGATAGTTAGAAGATAATTATATTCCACCTATTCCATTTATTTTTCTATTTACAATGAGCTATTTTTAACGCTAGAACTACCGTTACAATCAAAATGACTGGCTTCAGGTTTCTTGTTTCGCAACTATTGATATTTTAAAAGCATTGAATATTCGGAATGATTTAGAAAATAAGTAGTTTCATTTGAAATCTATAATGAACGTCTGAAGAAACTGAAAACAATCTTACAATTTTTATACGGATTATATATCAATCCAATTAATTGCTCGGCTGTTCTAGCATTAAACTATATATCACCATCCCGCTTTTAAAGCGAATTAACATTCTGCAAGAAATATACCATCTACTAACTCAAATTTCTGTCTTTTTTTTTTATTGTCTACTTTAATCCCTAACTTATCTATTCATAAAAAAAATCAAATAAAAATTCAGTGTTTTATATTGTTTATCCCAAAACGATAAGATTATTAAAAGAGATCTGTTTGGATTACGAAGGAAAGGGGAAAATATTTTATTTCAAACCCAATCAAACTCGGCGCAAGGGTGTTTCGTTTGGACGAATTTGTACGGCTCGCGGAAGTTACGGGCAGAACTAAACGGGGATTTTTTACGGGCTGGTTGTACGCGCGGGCACGTGCTGGCTTGACAAATAAATCTAGGGGTAAGAGGAATTTGGCGGGAAAGGGGGAAAAGGGGGATCGTAAGAGAAGAGAATTCGCAGGGAAAGAGAGAAGTTTGTGGTGGTGGATAATTGGCCGAGAGCAATGCGGCATTTCGCTGTGGCGGTACCTTTGGTCCAGTGGTTCTCACATGTGCATCTACAAACTTTGATCCTCCCAAGCATACACTTTGTTACTTTATGAAAATCGCAGCAAAGTTGCCGGCATAAAGTAGGCAGATCGACGGAATTCCTTAAAGGAAGCAGAAATGTTAATTGACGCGTATACTATTCTAGATTTTCTCATTTTTTAGTTTGCCAATTAATGAAATTTTTAACTTGTTTCAAAATCGTGAAATGTTTATTTTATTCTATTTATTAATTATAATTGCTATAGTATACCTTTAACCTATCGCTATTATATTTTTTATAGGAAGTACTTATATTCGAATTCAGTAAGGATAGAGTCGAAAGGACTTTTTAAACTATGTAACTTATATGAGACAATACCACTATAATTTTCGTCAGTCATTTACCAACTTCTACAAAGAAGTGTTAAATAATTTTCAAAAGACTGACTGCACTTTCGCTAATGTAAAACAAATTTTATAAATTACTTTCTCCAATAACAATATAAAAATGCATATAAAAATTCCACAGTTAAATTGAATATGAAATAAAATATTGGTATACTTTTTGTAACTTTAAAAGAGTTATATTCAACATTCGAAAGTTATTATCCTGAAAAAAGAACGACATAAAAAACACGATTTTAGATAGTTAGTTCAGTTGTGTTTTTAAAAACATTTGCAAAAGAGTTTATACGGGTGAACCGTTTTCGTCGCTCGAGATTCGTTTCGCGGTCCAAGAACCACTGGCGCGTAGCGGGTGCAGTGTACAGATCGAGGAGCAAAGACATCTTAGATCTGAGGGAGCGAGTAGCGAGTCCAGTAATTAGTTCCACTAATCAGTGACCCGGAGGGAGGCAGGGATGTGACTTTAGATAGACAGAACGAGTTGGCCAGCATTACTACCATCTTAAACGATACTTCCTTTCACGATGGAATATTGCCGAGTACGAAATCTACATTATACTTTGATCGAAATTTTCATCAGTTTAGTTCCAAATCCAGAAAACTACATGTTCCTTTATATACATTGCGAAAACTAGAGCTTTGAAAGTAGAGAATTACAATGCGCGTTCGTATAATTGGATGAATCAAAATCGATTTCAAGAGTTACTAAATAATGCCGAAAAATTCTATATCCGTCAAATTGCCGAGTTTCATTTATATTCAGCAGAATTTATGTATTTGTATATTAGTTTCATGAAAGTAGTAAATGAAGTAATTAAAATATTATACTGCGATTGCGATGTTGTTAATACTAGTATCCCAAGAATTTTACTTTACCTTGATCCAATTTTTAATAAACATTACCTTTAACGTAATATGAAATACAACTAACAATAACATTGTTTAATACATCATTCTATAATTGCAATACGATATATAATATGAACCAGTGCTTTTACAATATAATAATAGATTGTAAATATAACAACATAACAATATAACAATATAACAATATAACAATATAACAATATAACAATATAACAATATAACAATATAACAATATAACAATATAACAATATAACAATATAACAATATAACAATATAATAACACAAGTTATATGCAACTTAGTACATCTACTTGATGACAATTTTTAAAGAAACACAACCTTTCGAGATTTCTATCTCGATTACTACTCTATTTCCATCAAATTACAAGACGCTCATCATATACAATCATTTTTCGTCTATCACGTTTCAGGGGAGCATTGCGAGCGGCAAGACCACTGCGCCTCGTCGCCATGTCGAAACGGGGCTGAGTGCCGGTCACTCGAAGACAGTTACAAGTGCACATGTGCGCCAGGCTTCGCGGGGCCGAATTGCGCGGAGGACATCGACGAATGCGACAGGGACCCGTGCGTACACGGCTCCTGCAAGAACATTCACGGATCTTACAAGTAAGTCGAACGACATCGTTAACGTTCTCTTTCCAGCATTTTACATACCCCCAGCGAACGTAAATTGCTCGCTCACGTCGTCCCCGACGTTTCTGATAAAACACTGCGCGGACTCAATTTCACGCGGCCAACGGTTCGCCTCTTCCTTCCATTTCCCTCCTCTCTTTCTGCTCGTCGAGGAAACGACACGCGCGTTTCGCGCGTTCGCATAAACTCCGATCGCCAGATTTTAATCTCGCCTTCGCTCTCGAAATTCCCCGCGTGAACCAACGAAAGTGGCGAACCCGCAAATTGATTACGCTCGCAACGCAACACGCGGCGTAATGTATTCGGTGTTCGCGGCTGACGCTCTGTTATTAAGTTTCTGCCGGTGAAATTTGGTGCGCCGGTTAAACAACCTTCTGATGGCTCCGAAGGCCTTAAATATTGAAAAGTGACGGGCGCCTTGTTTTCGTGCTCGGGGAAAGGCCTGTTTCGAGAGTAAAACTGCCTGTGACGTCAATCTGCGAATGCTATAGATACTACGATGAACGGAGGACATCCGTCACTTCATAACACAGTTGAATTCCTTTTTTTCAATAAAAACATCACTACCGAATCTATAAGTAGATAATAGCCAACTCTTATTAGATGTATATGAAAATTCAGATGTTTAAAAGTGTAATTTGAGAAATGAAATGACAGGAAGCAGATTTACTTAACATAACTATAACAAGCACTACAGTTGAAATATTTTAGATGGTCTATCCTATCTATGCAATCTGTACTCTCAAATTCCTCATAAACACCTAAAAATCCATTTATAACAATTCTCTCCACAACTCGTGAATCCCATAATTGATTGCAAACTTTCGAACAATTACGCAACTAGCCGAACCCTTTTCCCGGAAGAGACTTAAGGTTTCCGCGTAGCGAGGAATGTAGAACAATCATCAAACCGCGTGAAGGGCGATACAAGAGGCAGAAATACCATGAATATTTTCCAGGAACGCGTGCAAACGGTTCCATTAATCGCTTAATCGTCGGAGCAGGGGCAGATGCGCGCGGCTAGCTAGCTCGTTGGCGTGTTCGTGTCACGGGATTCGATGACGATGACTCGCGAGCGGAAAAGAACGGGACGCGTCGACTTCTCGAAATATCGTTGCGGGCCGGCGAGCGCGGTGATGAGGGCGCAGAGAGAACCGCGGTAGTGTCGTTCGTCTTTGTCGCAATTACCGATTGAACACGGACGCCGGAACGTGGAGCGCATAATGACGCCGAACAACGAGGATCCATCGAGTCGATCCCACGGCCCATTACGGATTTGCTCGTAATTCGACGTTCCGACGCCTCAAAAATCACTTTTCTACCCCGACGACGACGGCCGCGCCTTTTTGCCTCGACCGATCTCCCTCGTCCTGCCAGCACAGCCGTCTATCCGCGTCCCCTTCGTAATAGTCGCGGAAAGTGAAACGATCGGTGCTCGGTTACGAGACATTGTTGCTTGCACCGTCTCCGCTAAAGGTCTCAGAGATCTTTGAACATAGGTTACGGAAAATTGTTCTTGGGAGGGGTAGTTCCTTGTATCTAGGTGTTTACGGTTTCAAGGAAAGAACGTTGCTTTGAATTTTATTTTGGCGACTAGTTATGTTCGTATGAAGCTTGTGTGTTCATCCTGTGAGAGCAATTGCAACCATCGAGACTATGAAGATTTATTTTCGATATCCTGTTTGAAGAATATATTTGTTATAATGAAAGAAATTCTTAGTTATTCATAGAAAGTATAAATAACTGAGTAATATATAATGTTTGAAATAGAAACAGTAACTTTTACGTTTGGTCAAGCTTTGGCCAAAAGAATCTTTCATAGAAAATCAGTTTTACTAGCGCCAAAAAAAATTTCATCGGATACAAGCATGAAACCACAAACGTAAATTATTAAAACATTATTTATTAAAACATTATTTATTAAAACAATTTAGAAAACACGTTTCGGAAATCTCTCAATCTGTAACCACACTAAAAGAAACCCAACTCAGAAAAATATTCTTCACTGTTGCTAAAAATATTGAATCAGTCTTCCAAGACAAAAATTTGCACAGCGTAAATCTAACTGTACGTTTCATATACGAAACTTAAAATAGAACCGTTCACAGTGCTCTTCCAGAAGAGGCAGGCCCAAAAAATCGATTGCACTTCGATCGATGCAAGAAACTACCCCCGTCGAATCGCGCGGCTGCAACGTTCACGAAAGGGGCCGAACCGTGCGGCTTCGGTCGTGCAAC